CGGAACGCCACTGGTAATCTTTACCCACGTTGATGACGTATTACCTAATATGACACGCTTAGACCTTAAATTATTTAGTAAATAGTACAAAACTACAAAATCCATAATGGGGGACTTGACAAAAAATGGAATGTTTTAGGCTGAATTTCAAAACGTCATAACTTTTGAACCATTTGGATTTGTGAGCTTAAATGTTACATGTTTTTATGTTTCATTGTTATGTACCACTGAGTAAAATTTGAAAGAAATATGAGAGAATGACTGAAAAATTTCAACTTTTTGTCCCTGTTTTACATAGAATTACCCCTTATCATTACTTACTTTAGTTTGCCCTTCTTATGAAAGTAATAATTTTAGTTTTGGTTACTATGGATACCTAATTTCGCTAACTAACAATCTATATTTAGTAGATCTATTATGTGTAGTATATACTCTGTATTTAGTATGTGCATTAGAATGAGATTCAAACTTCTTATGAAGGTGAAGTATTTTATATTTGGCTGCTATGGATACCTAATTTTGCATAGTATCAACCTGTTTTTGGTAGTTGCACACCTTTTATGTGTACATTACAGATTTTAATTAGTTTGTGCATTAATATGAGGTTTGCCCTTTTTATAAGGGATATTTTTTATTGGTTGCTATGAATACCTAATTTTGCATAGCAGCAACCTATTTTAATAGGTGCAGATTTTTTATGAGTTCTATATTCACTAAACTTTGTTATGAGTACCAATACAAAGCTGCAAAATTAATAATTTAAACTTATATTGCTTAACAACCAGATACTTTCCTTAGTTATACAAGAGGTACATGATTTTTAAAATATATTTTTATCAAATTTTTATCTTTTTTTTTTAAATAACTAAGTATTAATGTAAATAATTTTAGGTAAAGATTTAGATAATTAATAATAAAAACAAAAAGTAGTGCAAGAAAATATTAGCGATTCAAAGTATATCAACAGTTTATAAAACATACATACATAAAAGAAGAAATCATATTTTGGGTCAACACATATTTAAATAATAAAATTAAATTTTTATACTATGGCCTATTCTAATATTAATTTATTACAGCTTAAAATAGCATTAATAACCATAACTGTGGCTAAGTATTACCTTTTAAATGATAAACTGTAATAAAATCAGTACTGTTGTTATACAAAATTAACTATATAAAAAATGTATCAACAGCAACCAAATAGAAATATGACTTCCATAAGAAATCTGAATTTCATTTTATTACACACGCTTATTATTAAGGCAATTTTAATCACTCCTTGATTTGTGTCTTATCTCTGAACCTAGTTTGTGTTCATTTTCTTCTTGTTCTCCTTTAGGTGTTTTAGATCATGCTATGATCTCACTAACACTTGATAGTTCCAACATATGATAGTTCTTGTTCTCCTTTAGGTCCATTATTTTTTACTATATTTTGTATTTTACCTTTGGAAGTTATGTTCAAGAGGCTTTTCAAAAATCAAGCATTTAATTTTAAAAATTTAACAATGACATTATTAAAGGTTAGCATTCTGCATCTCATATATGGGTCTTATCTTATTAACTCTTTTAAAGTAGAACTATTTGTAAACAATTTTTCATCAAACTTATCTATTGAATCTAATTTAAGTACTCTTCCATGTCATCTTAAAAAACTGGTTGATCCACTTAAAAAAAAAGTTCAAAATTACTTCCAAATTACTTTTTCTTTTGCTAAAATTATTTTCTACAAAAGTTTTTTACAACTTGTTCAAGTTCCTATCAGATTTATAGTGATTGAGTTGAAAGGTTGTAGTAATTTGAAAGTAATACATAATTGTAAAACCATAGAAAGTCACCTGGAGCAATTAAATTGCTTGGTGCTATATTTTCGTAATCTGTAAATCAAAATAATTTATAACAAGTATTTTGGTGATGCATCTTCCTACAAAGAAGTTGTTTCTCAACTCAAACTCCAAACACTATGAAACAATGTTTAGTATTACACATAGAATTTATTAAACCTGAATTATCAATTTATCAAAGGTTCTTAATTTTTATTAGCTTTACTAAACTTTAAATTTATGGAATGAAATGTTATCATGTTATCAATTTAAATATTTTTCAAATTGAGAACTAATCAATTTTAGATTTCTATTCCAACCTTTGCTCATTTATTTTGAGAATAAGAGATCTTAAACAATTGAAATACTATTGACCAGTAATGGCATTCCCCCTTTCAACATATATACTTAATAAATGACACATTATTTTGAAATCTTATTTTTTATAATCGGTTACAAAAGAGTTCTCCAGATCTCTCTAAATTATTTCTAAAATAGATTTTATAAATATAATGATAAAAATGACTTCAAATTGTTTTTGTTTTTTTGTATTTTAAACTTGGTAAATTGTTTTTTTGCAATTGAGTTTATTTTCATAATTTATTAAAACACTATGATATTCTGTAATTGACACTGTGGTGTTCTGTAATAAACACTATGTTGTTTTGTAATAAACAATATAGTGTTCAAAAAACTTATATAACATATCCAAGAATTTTATTTTTTAGTTATACTTTTAGTTTTTAAGTAATATCAACAAAAATAATATTGAGAAATTTGACAAACTTCAACATATCCACAAAACTGGTTTTTCCTTTAGAAAAATATTTTTCTAGAAAACTCAAAGATTTTTCTCGTGAACAGCAAGAAGAAATAATAAAAAATAGTAAAAGAAAGAAATAATTAAAAAAAAAATAAAAAAATTAAATTCAGTTCAGTTCAATCAAAACTATATGCTACATGAGTAATTTTTCGGAAAATATTTTGAGAAAAAAATTAAAAAATGGATCTCATTTAGAATGTAGGAAGATTTTAGTTCACAGGAGGAATAGTAATCAAAAAGTGAGAAAAAATTAAGTTTGATATTGCTATGAATAAAAATCTCCATCATAAAAAAATAGTGATAAAAAAAAAGAGAAACTCTAATTTTGCCAATAATTATGTTTATTGATTTTTCATAAATGTCTTAAAAAGCAAGGAAGATAAAAAGCTTAAAGATAACATAATCACAAAGAAAAATTTACTTGATGGCTGGCAAAGTGTTGCAGTTGAAAAAACCTTGCTTAAGTCAAAAAAAATATATAAAAAGCAAATTCATTTATTATTTACAGTATTTTTTTGATTGCAATATTTTTGTGTTGTAAGTATTTTGTATCGTAAGTATTTTTTTTTTTGATTGATATGCAGCACAATTTAAAGATTCTAAAAACTTTATCAATTTTTGCCGTCACATTATAGACTTTGATTTAAATGCTATATGGGTACTTTTTTCTACCTGCCATCATAAAATCCCCCTGTATTGTTATTGGTGGGACTGTTAAAAAAGTAGTTTGTCAAAAAGTCAAAAACAAGTAACTAATGGCCAGAATTTGTATGATAATTATAAAATAAACTAATAGACAGATTTAGATGTTAATCTATTTTTGTAGATTAACATCAAGCAAATTTAAAAAAATTATATTTGAATAAAAGAACAGTTTCTGGCACAACCAGGTATCATCTTTTTATTCCTATTAGTTCAAACACAATAAGTTATAAAAAAACTAGTGGGGATACACATACTGAAGTGTTAGATATTATTCTAAAAAATAATAATAATAAAGAGATTTCAATAAACATGAAAAAAATGAACTATGCTGCTTATTTTTATGATAAAACAACTCTGAAACATATGGGTTACGTATTTTTTTGTATGGATGATTTTATATGATTTCTAATGATCCATTAGCAATGTGTGACTAGCAAGTTTTAACTACTGCAAAACTTAATTATTAGCTCCTGGTAATGTTTCTTCTCTTAAACATGCTGTATACTCCTGATTACTCTTGATCTTTTTTTATTACCTCTAAATATAGATCTTATTCATTCTTATACTAATTACTGTTGTCATTGATGGACTAGTTCTTCTAATGAGATTCCCTTTCTTATAGACAAGATCTGAAAATGCATTTTAATTGTTGTTATCATGTCAATTCACTCAAGCTGCTAAGCTTCATAAACAAGTGTTTCCGAGTTCGATTTCCACCACATCTCTGGTAGTACCCCGCTCGACTTGTTTCTCCCTGCAGCGGTCTCGTTTGTCAAGGTTCATGTTTTGGAGTTATAGAGTTGAGAGAGGGTTGTTACCACAAATAAGTAGCCTCCTCGTCTGTAGTGGTCTATATAGTAACATATGTAGTGGCCTTCTCGGCCTTGAGGAGATGAATTCAAATAAAAATAAAAATAAAAAGCCTAAGCCACTGATTCATTTTTGAAGAGCAGCTTTCAACTTCAAAGAGCAACTTTCATCTTTTTTCTCTTTTCAACAAACACTATCATCGTTGCTGCTCAAGCTATTTATATACTTGTTCTTAAGTCACATCCTATTACTATACCTGTTTCTTCATTCTTTAAAAAATTATCTAGTTATTTATTGCAAACATCAGTGCTTTAGAGTTCTCTCACACCTTATGTTTTCCTGACACATAAGTAATGGCAATTGTAAAGATAGCAAGAATGCATTCATGAAGCCTTTTTTATCAGGCTTCTCGAAACATCATTGGTGAATATATTGTGGCTTTGAAGATAGAGTTTTATCTACATTAGGTGAATTATTAATTTCCTAACTTTAATAAGATCTAACAACACTCTGATTTTTTTTATTATCTTTCTGCCCTCCCCTTTTTTCTCCTCTCCTCTTTTCGTATATATATATATATATATATATATATATATATATATATATATATATATATATATATATATATATATATAAATGTATAAGATCTAACAACACTCTGATTTTTATAATCTTTCTGCTCTTTTTGTATATATATATATATATATATATATATATATATATATATATATATATATATATATATATATATATATATATATATATATATATATAAACCTGTTCTATACATCAAAATAAGCAAAAATATGAATTTTTAATGTTCTATCTCAATTCTAGGTGCCAGAAGATTAAATCAGGGTTTTACGAAAATACGCAAAGTATGGTTAAATTACGTGAAGGATCGCGAAATAACAAGGTTGCACCATTTTGTGTTTAGTTTAAGTTTACATTCACTACATGACACATCTATTATAAACTGTTAATAATTTCTTATAGCTAAATAGTTAAAAATAGTTAAAATAACATTAACTTTTCAGAAAGAAATGGGTCCAAAAAAGAAGAAAAATGCACATATAAGTGAGAGTGTCAGACGACCATTATATCTGTTAACAAACCCAATTTCACAGCTACCAATTACACAGCTTCCAACCAATGGTAGTATTTTAAGATATTATCCATATCTAATTTCAAATAAGAAGAAAAGATTTATCAAAACACAAATTAACATGGCCTGTAAGAAGCAAAAAGAAACAAGAAACTTGGTGTGCATAGGTAAGACATAACTATAAAAGAAACATTTTTATAACTATAAAACAAACATTTTCCTAAATTTTAGAGGACTAAAATGTTAAATAAATAAAATATTTTTAAAAATCTAATTTAGGTAGAGATTTTTGTGACCTTGAGGCGCAATCAAACTGCTTAATTAGACAAACAGTCAACATTTGGACCAAAGCAGGATTTGAAGCATACATCATTTCAGAATATTCAATTCTTGACAAACTTCAAGCTCTACACAAAAAGTATCAACTTTTGAAAAAACGTGTTACTCTGAAAGATACCAAAGATACTAGAGAAGATATTATGAATGAATTCATTTCAACAATGGAACAGTTGTTTGACATAGGCAAAGATAACTTAGAGCTACTGATGAGAAGTGACAAAATAACACCAAGAACACCAGCTGCTATTGAAGAAGACCTAAATTCCTATCTAGACCAGCAAATAGACAGGTAAGATTATTAATTATAATGTAGCCTTTTTGTAAATTTCTCAATAATAATCAAAATTGTTAGTAGCGCAGCTACTTTATGTAGGGCATTCAGTCTGTCTGTCTGCTTTGAGCTGTCCATCTGTCCCTCTATCAGTGTAAGTTACTGCATTCTAATGTTATGCCCTTTGATTTTAGGAAGTGGTTTATTTCTAAGCCAGATGAAGGGCTAGCTACCATTATTGAGAAACCCCTAGAAAGGTATAAGAGACAAGAACAATTGAGAATGAAGTACCTATAGGAGAAACAAGCTGGAGAAAGATGTAAATCAGCTCCCCCACCACTTGATGAAAGTGATGAAGACTTGACGCCAACTTAAAGAAAAGGTAAATCAAGTGTCATTTTCATAACAAAAATAGTGTAGAATTAAGTTGAAGAAGTTTTTAGAAAAAACAATAGTGCCCAATGATTTCTATTGGTAAAAAACAAAGTTAAAGAAAACAACCCAGAGTGATATTGTTTTGGGGGAGATTATTTCTTAAGTTGCACAATAATTTTTCAGATTTTATTGTATGTTTAATTTGATACATGGTGGTTAAATTTACTGTTTCAAAGATTTAAACAGAACATAAACATAAAGTAACTCGCAGACAAGTGAACACCAGAGAGAGCATGTCCTTGGTAGTACCGTGCTCAACTTGTTTCTCTGAGCAGTGGCCTTGTTCATCAGAGTTTGTGTTTTTGAGTTATAGAGTTAAGAGAGGGTTGTAACCACAACTAAAGTAGCCTCCTCAATTATAGTGGCTTTCACGGCCTTGGTGAGGTGAATTAATATTATTATTATTATTATTATTGTTATTATTATTATTATTTTAATACAGCTGCAGCTTTCAATGCTGTTCTCTGACCAGGTGACAAATTTAACCTATGGCTATTGTCAATATTTTTGCATGAACAGGTTTTTTGAAAGCTTAAGTGTTACCATGTATTTCTTCTTTGCCACACTTGTCAAACTCTTTTCTTTTACATGACATTAAAAAATCTTGCCTTCTGGTAAATTAACTGAATTGCTATCAACACTTTTACCTTGATTGTTGACCTGAAAATTCACCTTTGTTGAAAACAGAATTTGCTTGTTTTGCTTTTGATCCATTTCTACCTCAATAAAACCATAGTTCTCTTCATTTTATGTTCTACTTTTCTCATTTAGATCTTGTCTTCTGCACACAGGTACACCTTATTTTAAGCTTAAAGAGAGCTGAGGAAATCAAGATCTTCATCCTTCATTTTTTTGGTACGAAATCTGTTGGTTTTTTTATCTGTTGGTTGGTATTTCCGCTTGGGCATCTTAGTTAATTCAACACAGAAAAAAGTGTAAACTTTACAAATCTTAACTAAATAAAAAACAAAGTAAGAAAGTTACTTTAACTAAGTTATATGAAAAATTACTGTTTTTATTCCTCACTAAAAATCTTCTCTTTTTATTTGTTTGATTTGCACCCTTTCTTCTGCAGTGTCAACTTGATCTGTATATAAACTATAGTTAACTATATCTTCTTTGCTTTTATCATGTCTTTATGTATTTCTTGTCTTTTTTTAATAGTTTATTTTTTTTCAATCAAAAAAATAGCAAAACTAAATTATTTGTCATTATTTTGTCTATTATATTAAGATAAGATATTTTAAAATTATTCTTTAAGAAACGATGATAGTAGTAGAGTAGTAGTAGAGTACTTGAAGAGTTTTTTATTTAAGAGGAGTTTTTTGAAGATTCGGGTTGTTAGCAATATCTAGTTTTATTGTATATTGTTGATCAACAATCAACAATTGTTGATTGTTGATCAACAAACAACAAGAATCTTTGCTTTTATCTTGTCTTTACGTATTTCAATGTTTTTGCCCATTGTTGCTGAACTTCAATAACAACTTTGTTTGTCATGGCACCATTACAAAAGCTTCTCATGTCCGCTTTTTCCTTTATTTGAATAATGAATTCTTTATTATTCCATCTTTCGAATCAAAGAAAAAGCGAATAATATCTCCTTTTGTGGGGACTCTGCAAGTTGGTAATTCCAATATGTGCTTTCCTATCAGACAGATATCATCATTCTTCCTCTGACTCATCTTACATATAATTGTGGTAGTGGTAGTAGTGGTAGAGCGCTCGCTTCATAAACGAGTGGTTCCGAGTTCGATCCCCACCACGTCCCTGGTAATTACCATAGTGCATGAAACTTTTCCAATATTACCTTAGGTGCATATTAAATGTACATTTTGGCATGCTGGTGGCAAGGCTTACATTATTTAAGTTCAACCAAAAATTTACTCATTTTATTTACATGCAAATGAATAGGAAAAAAGGCAGGGAGCAAGTTTTTTACAAACTTTATTTGTAAAAAACTTGCTCCCTGTATATATATATATATATATATATATATATATATATATATATATATATATATATATATATATATATATATATATATATATATATATATATATACATATATATATATATATATATATATATATATATATATATATATATATATATATATATATATATATATATATATATATATATATATACATATATACATACTCATGTTCGGTCATTTTAAGGTTTTACCATAAAATGTCAGTTTTAGGTTGCTTTTTTTATATATTATTTTGAACCTGGAAAAAATTAAAAACTTTTTTTTTAATTTTTCTTATTTGATAGACTGCCTGCCCTAACCAAACCCTCAGTTGATGCAGCAGCACTCTGTTGCAAGGCACACAATAAAATAGTTGATGTAGCAGCACTTCCTTGTAACATCAGACTATAAGATAGTCAATGTAGCAACACTCTGCGCTTGTTTTACAGTTAAAATAAAAACAAAAAACATTCAAAATGTTTTTAAAAACATGTTTTACGAATATTAGAACATCAAAGTATGAAAAAGATGCTGTTTGGTATTGTTAGCTTTTTAAAGAATACTCACAATCAGATCTTGCTTTGTTTTCACTGTTGTAAGTTTATTTTCAATACTTTATGAATAGGGTTAACTAATTTAGTTTATAGCTTCTTAAAGTCACTAATCATAAAAAAAGTGTTATGTTCAGGGATTCTCTATTTCTGGAAATTTCTATAAATTCCGTTTATTTTTTTTCAAATTTTAGTTTTTCTGGATATTCAAAACATTGAATATCCAGAAAAACTAATATTTGCAAAAAAATAAAAGAAATTATTAACATCAAACCCTCTACTAATTAAATCTTACATTCTCAAGTCTATTGGTAACACTATCTCAGACAGTATGGTTGTTGCTAACATTTTTAACAAATACTATGAAACAATACAACACTCACCCAAAAGTAAACTGATTTCTTCTAAAAGTATCTTCTCTGACTATTTAAAAAATCCTAATTCTAATTCTTTCTTTATAAATAATAGTTTACAAAATGGTAAAAGTTTTGGACCAAATAGTATCCCCACACACTTTCTCAAACTTACTTCTCATGTTATCTGCAAGCCTCTCTTTACCATATTGAATAATTCTTTTAATAATGGTCTTTTTCCAGATGTTTTTAAGATAGCCAAAGTTATTCCTACCTATAAAATGAGTTCTCTAATGGAACACATTAATCATCAACCAATTTCTCTTCTATCTAACATTAGTAAAATATTTGAAAAGGCTATGTACAACAGATTTTATAGCTTTCTTGACAAAAACTAATGTCATCAGTATGAATTTTATAACAAACACTCCACAACTCATGCCCTTATTAAAACAACTGAAACTATTAGAAATGCTCTTGACAATAAACTTTTTTGCATGTTGTGTGTTTCTTGATTTAGAGAAAGCCTTTGATTCCGTTAATCACTCCATCTTCCTAAGTAAATTGGAACACTACGGTGTTGAAGGTAATATTCTCCAATGGTTTTCATCATATTTTTTTAATAAATCAGTAATTTTTCTCCATCAATGATGCCAAATCTTTACCAATAAAATGCTCAACGGGTGTATCCTAAGGTTCTGTATTTGGACCATTGCTTTTTCTTATTTTATTTAATAATTGTAATATCTCCCTAAAATTTTCAACAGCTTACCATTTTGCTGGCACCAACTTACTCATAACAAACAAATGATTAAAAAATATTAACAAACATATTAGTCATGATTTATCTAACCTTCTTCATTGGTCACCTTCTAACAAACTAAGTCTTAATACCAACAAAACTGAACTCATTATTTTCAAATCAAACCAATCTAAAATGTATAAAAACCTAAACTTTAGACTAAGTGGACAAAAATATTTACTGTAGTTTCATTAGAATATCTTGGAATCCAAGTTGAATCAGATCTATCTTTTTCCTCTCATCTTAAAGGCTTAGCAGTAAAGTTGTGTACATCAAATGGGATGCTAGCCAAAATTCGCCACTATGTCAATTATGAAACTCTACTTAATATATACCATGCAATTTTTGGATCACATCTTAGATACGCCTGTCAGGTTTGGGGACGATGCAAGTTTAATGCTTTTAAGATTATGTAAAGATTTTGTAAGATTATTAAAAATAATATTCTTTCAACAGTATCATTCTAACTCTGACATCCTTTACTTTCTATCAAGTATACTCAAATTATGTGATCTTGTTTATCTATTAAATTGTCTGTCTGGAATCATAAACAAGTAAACCTCCCTCCGTCATTCTCAAATTTTTTTATTACTAAAAAAAGTTCTTGTTATTATCTTCGATCTTTGAGTAACTTTAAATTATCCCAAAACGCTGTTCGGTAAAATATAATGATAGTTCTATTACAAACCAATGCGTAAAATTGTGGAGTAATTTACATTTTCATTTTCAATCCCTCAATTTCAAAATTTCAACTATTTTAACTATTTGATAGAAAAATGTTTTAATTGAAATCTTAGGCTTATAATAGATTATTATTACTATTGTTATTAGTATTATTATTATATGTGATGTTCATATTATTTACATTTTATTTACATTTTTTACCGTCATTATTACTTATTAAATTTGTTTAATATTTATATGTGATATTTGTAAATATTATTATTGTTATTATTATTGTTAATTTTATTGTTATTATTGCTATTATTATTGTTGTTGTTGTTTTATTGTTATTATTAATGTTATTATTGTTGTTATTATTGCTATTGTTATTATTGTTGTTGTTGTTATTATAATTACTAATATAATCATTATTATTGTCATCATTATATTTAATAGTATTATTGATATGAATATAATCCTCTTTGTTTAATTTACTTTATTATTATTATATGATTGTTATTATTATTTAATTGGTGTTTTCCTTAGATTAATACTCGTACTATTAGTAAACAACTATGTAATTTAAACTTTTATTTCAGAATATATATTGTTATTGTTATTGTAAAAGCAAAATTAAAAAGTAAATAAGGGAAAACAAGTTCCGCATTTTTTGCGGATATTTTATTTAAGCAATTTTTTTGTTTTCCTTAGATTAGTACTCATACTATTAGTAAACAAACAAGTCAAATTTAGACTAATTGACCAGTATTTTATTGAGTATAGCAGATCTTTCTAAACCCCCTCCGCCTTTCAAAGTCAAAGGTTGCTTGTCTTTTAGTAATTGATAAAAACGTTTTGTTAACATTCACTTATTTTAATTACCTTCAACTTATTTTCTTTTTTGTAATATTTTTTAATTACAAACATTGTTTGTAAATCCATTTGCACTTTGTTGTGCACTTGTAATATTATTTAGTAAGTTGTATAATATTATGCAGTATAATATTATGCGGTAGTGGTGTAGTGGTAAAGCGCTCGCTTCATAAACTAGTGGTTCCGAGTTCGATCCCCACCATGTCCCTGGTAGTACCGCCCTCAACTCGTTTCTCCGCGCAGCGGTCTTGCTTGTCAAGGTTCGTGTTTCGGAGTTATAGAGTTGAGAGAGGGTTATAACCACAAATAAGTAGTCTCCTTGTCTGTAGTGGCCTTCTCGGCCTTGAAGAGGTGAATTAAAATGAAAAAATTAAAAAAAAAAAAAAATACAATGTTTGTGATTGAGTTACAAGATTGAAACACAAATCTGTTAAAGTAAATAATGTAAAAATTTTAAAATCATAGCATTTTAAAATTTTTTTCTATCATGTCACAGTTTTTTATTCTAATGTACTCTTGTTGTCATTTTTGGCCTATCAAACCCTGACCCATTTTGCTTCTGTCACATTTGTACAGTTTTTTTTTTTGTTTTTTTTTGTGTGGTAGAAACATAAAAGTAAAAGCATGTTTTATAACTTTATAATATTTTAATTTTATAAAATATTCGATGGTGTTGAAATCTTCAAGTTGCATGGCTCAAGTGTTATTTTGGATGGATATTTTGCAAGTACTCATTTGCAATGTTTTACTCAAGTGAAGGTGCAAAATGTTCTTTAAATGAAGTAGTGTTTAATGACACTCCAGAATCAGGTATAAAAGTTTAATGTTATTTACATTTTTTAATGTTTTTTGTAATATTTATTATTTCTTGTTATTTAAAAAAATCACATTAACTTGTAAGTTAGTTACAATTTACACCTAAGACACAAATGAAAAAATTTTTATTAGTTTTAAAAAATATAATAAAACATGCAATAATTGTATAGCAAAGTCATTATTTCATTTATAGCAAGCACAGCTAAGTCATTATGTAAAATTTTTTGTTGTTTTTTGGCTTTTTTTTTTTCGTAATATTTCTGCTTCTTATGTAAAATACACTACATCTAAATATTAGAAATGTCAGATAATAGTTTGTGAGGGGATACTCAAATATTCACTATAAAACTTCGGGTGCACAAACAAAACAATAAAGAAGTATTTAATTCATTATTTATTTATCAAAATGGAGTAGAAATGCGAATGAGTTTTTTTTTTTTTTTTTATTTAAGCAAAATATGAAACACATTTTATGTTTTGACCAAATCACAACATTTATTTGTTTTATTCATGTTAATTAAATTTTTTTAAATTTAATTACCATTAAAGTTGTTTTAAAAGTTGTTTGCAATTTAAATTAAAATAGATCATAACAATAAACGTATATATATTAGGGCTGCATGAGATTTTATCTCTAACTCCAGCCAATTTTAGAAAATCCGGCTCCAGCAAAAAATTAGGAAATCCGGCAATGTTTGAGCCGGATTACTAACTTCTGGTCAGGTATTTGTTACATCTTTTTTTGCCCGTGCTTACATAAATACTCATCACTTCATTTATACAAATCAATGTAATTCTATATTCTATGAACTCCATGTTTGTAATAGTATCCATGTTTGGATCCGTGGAGAGTCTTTAATGATGGCGGTTGGTTTTTATAACGGAAAGATAAAGAAAAAAGAAAAAAGAAATTTAAACATAATTTTTAATAACTAAACAACAAATCTAATCAGTAAATAAAGTCAGAAATTTTAAAAAGAATGAAAAAAAAATTAACGAAAAAAGAAATAATAATAATTAAGTGCATATAAATTTAAAAAATTGTCAAAAAAAATCCAAATAAAAAGGAGAAGGAGAGAGTTTACGTCATATAAACTTTAAAAAGAGTAGACAAAAAAAAATTTGAATTTTTTAACCACCTAAATTTAACTAAAAGAAAAGATAAAAAATAAAAAAGAAAAGAAAGAGATAAGAAAAAGAAAAACAGAAGAAACCAACAAAAAAGCAGAAGAGAAGAAAAAAAAGATCAAGTTTTAGAAGATATTTTTGAGCTAGTCTTTGTTGTATTTATCACTTATTTTAATTATTATTTGTATTACATACTTATTTTATATTAGATTATTATTTATTCATTTTACTATTTCATAATATATACTTATATTATTCTTTAACATGATATTTGTTATATTATTATTTTTTATTATTATATTAATTATTATTTATTATTGTTATTATATGTTACCATTAATTATTTTTATTAAATATTATATTTGTTAAATATTATCATTTTATGTATGCATTTCGTTTTGTAGTTTTTTTATTGCTGTTTCCTGTTTTTCTATTTTAGCAAATTTTCGACACCTTTTTTTTTTTTAATTATTTTGCAAAAATAACTAAAGTTTGTCCTTATTTTTTAATTTTTTTTTTTTTTTTTTTGTAGAAGTGTTTGTGTTTGCCTTTTCGTTTTGTTGTTTTTGTGTTTCATCTTGTTGTTTTTGTGTTTTGCCTTTTCGTTTGTGTAAGTTTTGTTTTTTATTTATTCTGTTTTGCTTATTATTTTTATTTTTATTTGCTGTTGTTATGAAGTATTTTCATATTTTTTGTCTCATTGTTTAACTTATCGTTGTTTATCATTATCGTTGTTTATCGTATTGCTTTATCATTGTTATTGTTATTTTATTTATTTTTTTAGCAATTTTAGGTTCATATTTATTATTTTTATTATTTTTTTATTATTATACTAATTGTTATAATTAATTGGTGTCACTCATTTTGATCATGAATGACACTCATGTCATCATATTATTTGTATTATAGATAATATTATTTTTAACTATTATTGTTATAATTATTTGGTGTTTTTGTTTGAGTGACACCTTCCTTTTCAAATAATTATTTATATTTATTCTTATTAGTTATATTTTATTATAATTATATTGTTTGTATTATTATAGATAATATATTATTATAGATATTATTATTATTGATATTATATGATTATATGTAAATTTTGAAAAGGAAAAAAAATATCTTGTTGTTGTTGTTGTAATGTATTTACATTTCTTTACAGTTTATTTACCTATGCCTTATTTCAATTTTGTCAATCTGCATGCTGAGCAGCAGATTGACAAAATTGAATAAGTTCTAGCAAAACAAGTCCAACTGGATGATTCTTCTATATCATCACTTGGTATTGAGAGTGGTCAATATTGTTGGCCACTATCAATATCAAGTAGGAATATACAGGATTTCGGCTCCTGTAATTTTTCGAAATCTGGCTCCGGATTTGTTAGTAGAAATTTGGCAAATACAGCTCCGGCCAGGTTTGGAAAAGTTAAATCTGGTACAGCCCAAGTATATGTATATATAGGTATAAATATATAGAGAGAAATATGATACAAAGGTATAATGAAACAAAGCAGCAAGTAGTTAATTTTTTCATGAAGAAGTTAATTTTTTTTTTATAACATTTCTTTTAATTCTTAAAACCTTTCATGTTCAACAATTGAACAGTTTCATTCCAAAAAGTTCAGTTACCTCAATAATGTTTGGTTATCTCATTTCATCCCATACTGTTAAACATTTAAAATCTCTGCAGAGCAAAGCAAAATTTTGACAGTGTGCAGTTGTCTATGTATTGATGTTTTCTATTGATGTTCTTTCTCAATTAGATAAAAACATTTTTTTTATTTAAACAAAAGTTTGTTGTAAAATAAATTTGCTCTAGCAGTCAAGCCTCATTGTTGTTGTATCTTTTTTACAAATTGTCCAGCAATTAATCTTGTGTGACAATTTTCAAAATTGTTTTTTTATTATTTTTTATTATATACTCTTCTTACTCAACTTTTTCTTCTTTTACTAACAATATATTTTTAAATTGTTGTTTTAAGGAAAACTTACCATATTTATATATAGTAAGTTATGAGCGCTCTACTACTACACCACTACCGCTTATTTATTTTAATAAAAAAATTTAAAAAAGAGTTTGGTAGTTTTTTTGAAGATAGTTAAACACAAAAAGATAACTGTAAAACTTTACAGGATCATGGAGTTTTAAGATTTTTAGTTCAGAAAGTTTTTTTAGGATATCAGATATCATTGGCAAAAATGTCATTCTAATAGATGCACGTTGTAAACTAGCAATGCTATTAAGTAAAAAGTTACTTTTTTGACTCCAAAGAATACAACAATAGCAAAGATGAATAAAGAATAAGGAAAAATAAATTATTTTAAAAGTTTGGATAGGAACAAAGTAACAAATTAGAGAAAGCATACTGTTAGCTCATGTAAGTTTCTTTTTAAGATGATATAGTTAATTATACCAAGGCCTTCATCAAGATATACTCCAAGATACTTTATATATTTTGATGAAAAAGTTTTTTCCGTAATCTTAATTTAAATATTATCAATAGTTTTTTGAGGGGACTGAAAACAAATGTGTTCAGTTTTATTGACATTCAAGAAAATATGATTACTATTTAACCAGTTACATAAGCAATGAAGATCTTGATTAACTTTTTAAAATAATTCAGAAAGTACTGTAGAGATATCATTTGCAAGAGTGTTAAAAATAGGTATTGGAATGCTGTTAGGTCCCAAAGCCTTGCTGTCATTAAAAAAATGAAGAAAATATGCTTCATTTTTGTTTTGGTTTTGGTTTGATGAATATTTATTTAAGACTGTGGTTTTTCAGATATTTATTGAAGTCAGTATTGGATAAGTGAATCTTTTTCTGTAATTCTTTTTGAATTAAAACAAAGAATGAATTAAAAGATTCCGAAAATTTAATGGGGTTGTATATCATGGAGTTGTTAGAGATTAGCAGGAAGGATATGAGTTATATATAGGATATGAAGGATAGGAACTTACAAATTAATGTTTAAAAGACTTATACCATCCCATGTAGATTTTAATTTTTTGGCATGATCAGAGAAAAACTTAGAGTAATGGTTCTTTTTACTTTGACGGGTGAGATTAACAAATAAGTTTCTATATGTTTTCTAAGATTTTTCTTGATAGACTTTGTTATTAGAATTCTTTGTTTTAAGAAATTTGTTAAATATTTTATTTTGTATTTTGATTAAAGTCAAGATTCTTTTTGTTATCCAAGGTTTGAGACCTCTTGAGAAGCAGCGATTGCTGACTATTTTTAATGATGCATGTTTATCTCAAAGAGAATTCAAAATTGTGAAAAACTCATCAAATGACTTGTTAGTCTTTCGTTCACTTTGATTACATTAGTCCAGCTAATTTTTGAGAAATCACTACATAACAACATTTTTTTTTTTAATTCCGAAGATGCAGCTTATATGAGAATTAAATTTGGTTCTTTAAAATGGATGTATTAAAAATTTAGGTAAATGATCTGATACCATAGAAGTAAAATTACCGGCAAAAATATTTGTAGAAGTTGCATTAAAAATTATGTTATCAATTAGAGTTTTTGAGTGATTCGTGATTTTTGTTAGCAATGAAAAAAAGAGAAAAAAGTTATTTAAAGCAATGGTTTATAAAAATTCAGAAAAAAATTGGAAAAAACTGTCTGATAACAAGCATTATTATATTTAACAACACCTCATTAGAAAAAACTGTCAAATAAAATAAATTCGTCTTATTTATCAAAGACTTGAATAAATCTATAATGCTGGTTTTCTCAATTATCTTTCTATATCTAGGATCATGAAAAAAATGAAATATGAAGAAAATCTCAATAAATAAATGAAAAAAAAATTTTAAATGAATAAGTTTGTTGTTTATTTCAAATTTTTAAATAACAATTTATTTCAAGTTTTTATAAAGCAACTTAAATACTGTGGTTAGAAAGGAATGATTCAATAATTTTGAAGTTTTTCTGAGATGCATCTTATGAAGATAGTTTATTGAGAAAACCAGCATCAAAAGCCTTTATCAAGATATATTATAAATATCATAAGAAAAATATCAAGATTTCAATCAACCATATCAAGAGAGCAACCAAAAGCAACAGACTTGCCTCACTTTATCATTATCTTGCCTCACTTCCTTTTACCTAATCTTTTTATCTTTTTATTACTATGGTTACAATGAGTCAGCAGTAAAACAAAAAAATTAAAACTATTCATTTATTTCTCAATTCCGATAACAAATAATTAGTTAATAAATAACTAATATTCAGGTTTAAATTTAATTTAGAAATTGAAATTTTAGACTCAAGATGAAATTTTAGAAGGGTTTTACTTATAACAGTTTAATAACTAATAATAATAGTAACTAGGCAACAGTTAAAGGAGACAGAGCCATCACCAACAAACATCTCAAACAACACCTCTAACTTCCAACAAGGCTGCAAGCAACCACTAATAAGTTGGGAGTTACAAGAAAAAAAATATAGAGTTATATAGTAAGTAAAATAAAATTAAAAGTGTTGACAGAATGATTTAAAAGTTGAAACTGAAATGTTACTTGAAACTGAAAAAATAATAAAAGTTATATAGCAAGCAGGTTGACATCAGACTTGAAAAGTTGAAGGTTGTATGCGTCAGAAAACATGAAGATGGGAGAGAGTTAAAGTGCAGAAAAAAACAAGACAAATAAAAGTTTTTAGAACATGCAGGGGCTGATACAGTAAAAAGATAAAGCTTTGCTGAATTACGAGTCAAACAAGAACTAGTTTTAGTTAATGGAGCTTGAGATGATATCTCCTACTATTTGTAAGAAAGAGATGCAACTTTATGATCATAGAAAAAAGGCTCAAGCTTAGCAGATAGAGCATTTTCAACTTCATTAACAACGCAGTTTATGAAGTTGAAAATGAGAAATTTGTGAACTTTGTCAAGTTTTGTTGGAAATTAAATGAAATTTAAAATTCACAAGCTACTACAAACAATTTGTTACAGAACTGAGATATGATTTAAGATCAATTGCCTGTTCTAAGCCATTGAAAAGAGAAGACTTTTTGTCAAGGCTGGAGTATAAAGTGAAATCATCATCAAATAGAGCCACGCTTAGATTTAAGGTTATGACGTAAAAATCTTGCTTTTAACCCTATTATTAAAGATCACGTAGATTAATTTCTAGTTTTTAACAAAATTTGTAAAGAATTTTTAAAAAATGTATACAATCAGGGTTGCTACTGGTCATGGAAATCATGGAAGTGTTACGGAATTTCATTTCAGGTCTTGGAACTTTTTAGAATAATCTTTTTCTTCTAATGATATTTTTAAAATAATTGTAAAAAAGAATTCACATTTTGACAAAAAGTCTTCTTTTTTGGATTGGTTAGAACAGGCAGCCAGACTTTAATCTGTTCTTCCATCTGTAACAGCTTGAGGCTTGCAGTTTCTTTTTGATTTTAACTTCAAAACTTTCCTGGGGAGAAAACAAATAAAAAAATTGCATTCACAAAATTTGCTATAAATAACTTATTGGTAGGTGTAGTGTTATTAACAGGCAACAGTTTCCTATTACCACTTCAAATGCTGTACTTTAAAGGGAAAGTTAGTGAGGGCAATAAAAGAGTTTTTTGTTCTAATTTATAAGTGTTTTTTTTTTACAAAGTTAATAAGTCTGAATTATAGAACCATAAAACTGAATTATAGAAAACTGAATTATAGAACTGTATTTTCATTAGGAAATAATAGAATGAGTTGTCATAAAAACAGAGAATTAAACAAAACCCATGCATTGAGTCAAGGAGATACAGCATTCAACATCCTGAACCGGAAACAATTTATAATAAATACATCTGCCTAAAAGATGAAGAAGGGGTGCAAGAAGAAGGCTTGTTAACAGATAGAATCTGTTTACCCCTTAAACTTAAACCGCTTTACCGCTTGTTAGAACAACCCTTGCAATGCACTTTTATAAAGTGTAATATATGATAAAATTTAATGACATAATTAAAGAAATTTTTTTTCTTCTTTAGTTTGACTAATATAACAATCATCAAAATGGCCAGTTGTTATATTTATTGCATTAGATATTTTTATTGCAACTTTTGCTTTCTCTTTCTTATCTATTTGGATGTTTCAAAGTCTGCTAGTTTCAAAATGGCCCTTGCTTTGTTTTATAATCTTTTCCTGAAACTGGAACTTAAATTTAGGGAAGAGTTTAATTAAATTTAAGAGAAACTTTTTCAATTATTAACAAGCATAAAACTAAAATATAATAACCTTTTGAGATATTGAGATATTCCAACAATTTTTTCAGTTTAGTATAAAAATAAATTAACAATTAATAAAATAACTGTTTAATTTAAAGTATTTTAACTTTTTGCTTGTTATTTGTAACTGTTTGTTAATTATTTTAATATTAGTTTTATGCTAAAAAATAAAAAAAAATGTCCTCAGCTTACATAAAATAACTTGATTAGATATATAAGCAGCCATTTTGTTTAGATACGTGCTCTAACTAGTGAAGGAAAAGGATTAGCAGCTTATTTGACAGGAACAACAAATACTCTTGGTATTTTTTGTTATCATTATTTTATACATTACACAAAACACAATAAGCATAATTTGATATTTTGAAAATGCATTTTTACATCTTGAAAGCAGGATATAGGCACTAGACGTGGTATAGGGCACAGCCACAGACATGGTATAGGGTACAGGCACAAGGCTGGGTAAAAAAGACAAAAGCTTTGAAGTAAAAGTAATTTTTATTAATTCATTTAAACAAAAATCTCTATAAACTGATTTTTTTTTTGTTTTTGAGAAGATTAAGAACGATTTAGAGATTCAAGCTCACACAGTTATAACAAACAGAAGTTTGTTATAACTGTGTGAGTTTGTCATAAGTAATTAGGATTATGGCCAAACTCTTTTGATTTTTAAGGCTGAAACAAGAGCGAAGGCAGTTTAGCATTTGGATTGTTTCAAAAGGCGTTTCTTGCAGATAAGACTATAACTATATATGATATGTGATAACTGTATTGATATATATATATATACTTATATAGTTTTTAACTACTGTGTGAGTCATAAGTTTTAAGACATGAAAATCATCATCATAATAATTATCATGTTTTAAATTTTTACTATTATATATATTATATATGTAAAGCGTTAAATGCAATTTTAATCATTATACAGCCTCACTTTATCATTATCTTGTTAATTTTTACTATTATATATATTATATATGAATTATTATATGTGGTTTATCACATATCTTAAATTTTTAATATTATATATATTATATGTGGTTTATTTTAAATAGTACTAAAATATAAGTTTACTACTATTTAAGACAAACATTGTATAAAATATTATTTAAGTTTGAAAAATACTTGTGTAAGGAAGGTAGGGTGGCCAGTAGTCTTTCAAAACCTGGAAAAGTCCTAGACAAACACATATTTTAGCAATAATTTCTGGAAATCCCACAACTTTTTTTTCTTAAATAGTTTAGGGTTGTTAACCGGAGGATTTCGTGCAATTCCGGAAAAACAACATTCTTTCGTAAGGAGATTGACAACACGGAATTACATTTTTTCGTACCGAATGTTACAAAACATTTAAAATTGCCGATGTTCATTTCGCAAAAGCCACTTCTGAAATTTAGCATTTCGCAAGTTGACATACAAAACAAAACTATTTTGCAACATACGAAAGTAGCGGTTTCGGAAGTCGCACTTGCGAAACAAACATTTTTGCCAAACGACGTTTTGAAGTCTGTAAAGAAAATTGTTTGCCAGACTGATTTTAATTGTAAAAATTAACATCTTTAAATCCAAAAATGTTTATAATGAATTTTTATTTTCAGTATAATAACTATTAAATTTTTATGGCTTTATTTTTAGAAATATTGATAAAAAATAAAATTTCTTTCAAAACGAAAGTATTTCGGATCACAACATACAAAAGAATTCTTAACGGAAATAAACTTACAAAACGTGCCATAATAAATATATACAACGATGTTTTTTGAACTCATTACGTATATTAAAAATAAGAATGATGGGTAGGAATATACATGTTTTTTTTTTAAAGCATATGAAATTTTTGTAACAGGTAAGAATATGCTTAAGCAAATAGTAAAAAGAGGCTCAAAAATATGCTTTAGCTTAAGTATATTTCTGATAAAATATACATATTTCAATAATTTCTAAAAGTGTGCACGTTACTAAAGTTCTAGCAGATTTTAAAGGTATGTAGAGTCCTGCTTGAATACGCTTTTCGAAGTATAGATCTTAGAAAATATTGTTTTTTAATTTTAATAAGATATAAATTTGAGTATAAGATTGTATAGTTCAATCAGTTAGATACGTGATAATTCGCCGCAGAGATCCGGGTTCGCATCCTGCAGCCATTGTAACTTTTGTTCATCAAACTCTTTTTACTTAAGATAGCATTTTTTGACCTCCATGTTCTATATTACAGATCTTTCGTCACCTTCACAATAGTGACAACCTCTCTTCTGTTAGTTATTCTTTTAAGATTGAGTTCATTGTGCTTAATTCAACACGTCTCCCTTGCTTTACTAAGTTCTACTTAAATTATAATGAAATGTACATAAAACAACTTTTTCAAATAATATAAATCATTTTGCTTTAAATCTTTTGCTTTTTGTACTAGACATCTGTCCTAAATACTTTGTAATAATTTCTAGCTAACTCTGAGTCTAATATAACCATTTCTAAATATAATTTCCCTGAGGCTCCTACAGCCTATTGTGTTCCATTAAAAGTAACTAGTTTTTGAGTCCAGATATTAATTATAAGCATCTAAAGGTTCACATTACTATTCATTTTCCTGATATATAGAATCCTATTTGCATATGTATCTCTTTCTGTAAATTCTGTTTTATATAGTTTCTTAATTATATATTAAATAAATATTACTATTCACTTAGTTGAATGCACGTATAGCTCATTCAGTTAAGACATTTGGCCGCGTAGACCCAGGTTCACATCCCGCTGTTTCACATATATTACTTCTCTTTTTACTCTTTCTGATATCATTTACCTTTAGAGAGATCTCTCGTTCTTTATAATAAAGTATTTAATTGTTTATCACACATCCTCTTTATACTTTTTAAAAAGAAAGGCATACTGTTTATCTGTTCATTGAGAGTCCAACTTAACAGGATTTTACTGTATATATATGTATATATATATATATATATATATATATATATATATATATATATATATATATATATATATATATATATATATATATATTAGGTATATTTGTATAAACATTTGAAGAATCATTTGACAACATTTTTTTATAATTTTATTATTTTTTATTTAAACTGTTAACAGTTAATATCTTAAATATATCGTAACATAAAATCTTTTGCGTCTTTTTCGTAACTACACATTCCGGAATGCTTTTTCCGTAAGGAACTATTTTGTAAGTATTCTTACGAAATGATTTGTTTTGCAAGTTTTCTTTCGCAATGCTTTATTACGGAATTTAATTTACTATTTATATTTTTGTATAGTGCGTTACGGAATGTGCATTTTTGCATGTGCAACTTCCGCAATAACAATTCTATTACGGTAGATAAAGATGCAAAATTTTCGCAAGTTTTGTTTTTCGGCGAACAACTCTAAAATAGTTCAATATTTCATTATCATGTTTTTATCTTTTACAGAGTTGTTATTAATTTTGCATAGATTTATACTGAATTTGATAATTATGTATTTTCTATAATGCAAAAAATATATTAATGTTACTGTTAGTATTATTAACATCTACTATATAGTTATTTTTCATTTTCATATTTTTTCTTAAATCAAAATATTTATAAGATAATTTTGTATAAGTTTTTATTATTAGATTATTTTGCACCCTCACCTCCTCAATTACATGTTCGTGGTAAAACAGAGATTTTTATTGAGTGGGATCCTCCTAAAAATCTTCTTGGCAGATTAAATTATTATGAACTTAGAATGGATAACATGGTTTGTTGTTTTTTTATGTTTTTCTACTTTAATTTGTTTTTAGTTTGAAATCTAACAAGAAATTCTCTGATTCTTAGTAGTTGTGACATGAATTATAATTTTCTGATTGAATAAGTAATTTTTCATTTAACACAGAAGGTGTGAACACAGAGGCTATTAAAGTTTTTTTGCTAATCATGCGAGGAATTTTATTGTTACCATAGTCTTTGCTTATGCATGTTTCTTTATGATTTTTGCCATCATTTACATTCTTTCTTATTGTTGTTGTTTTTTTATTTTGCTCACAACAAAAAGCCATATTAAGATTTGAAGTTAACTGTGAAACCAAAAGTAGTAAAGAGAGTTAAAGAAAAGAAAACTGTTGATAGAAAACTGTAAATTAAAAACTGTTGATAAAAAACTGTAAATTAAAATTTTTTGATAGAAAACTGTAAATTAAAACCTATTGATAGAAGACTGCAAATTAAAAACTGCTGATAGAAGACTGTTAATTAAAAACTATTGATAGAAGGCTGTAACTTAAAAACTGTTGATAGAAGGGTGTAAAACAAAAATTGTTGATAGAAGACTGTAAATTAAAAACTATTGATAAAAGTGTGTAAATTAAAAACTGTTGATAGAAGACTGTTAATTAAAAACTGTTGATAGAAGACTGTAAATTAAAAACTGCTGATAGAAGTCTGTAAATTAGATGAGTCAGGAAAGCATGAAGAGATGTGTAATTTTCAAAGTTTGTGATAAAAACTATTTAAAAGTTTTTTTAAACAGAAAAGATTATAAAACAAGATTAAATTGAACAATTGAATAAGGGAGCAGAAGCAGAATTGAATCAGGAGTAAGAAACTAGTAAAAAAGGATTCATTTTATTTATGGTTTCAATAAAAGGTCAGTAGTAAACAATAATCCAAAGAGACTTATTTTAGAGGTCTCAATAAGAGTGTTGCGCTAAAAGAATATAATTAATATTACAATAATTATTAACAGTAAAAAAACAAGTTCAAAGAGTCTTGTTTTCCAGCGTGCTGGAAAGCGGCATCTGTTATCCCCATTTTAAAAAATTCTTGAAAATTTTGGAGAGCAATCTGAAGAGTATATTGTGGAGAGTAAACTAACAAGCAACCTAATCAGTCTGACAACCATCTCGTTAGTCTTATTCCTATCATAAGCAAAGTTCTTGAATTTTTAATTAACAAACACTTAATGTCTCATCTTGAATCTAATAACTTACTTTCTGATCATCAATAAGGGTTTTGATCTTCTCATTCTACAGCTGATTTGCTAACAGTAATAACAAATAGGTTTTATTGTGCATTAAATAGAGGTGAAGAAGTTAAGACTATCATTCTTGACATTTCTAAAGCTGTCTGACAACCATCTTGTTAGTTTATTGAATGTTGTTCTTTTTTTAGCAAATGTTTTTCTTCCTCATATCAAGATTTTTTTGTTTATTTGTTTAAATAAATATTTATTTATTTGATTTATGCTTTAGAATTAAATTTATATATAAATAAATTATATAGTTTCAAAACAATTACAGAACTACAACTATAAATTTACACAGTTAAACATTTATTTCCAGGTAATATATAGAGGAATTGACCGCTGTTTTACTGCGCAAGCTCTTCAGCCAACTAAAGTTTATAGCTTTACAGTAACTATATTTAGTTATATTTGAAATTTGTTTTTATTTTTAAAATGTTATTCTGAAGGGAAAATACTAAATTTCAGGTTTCAGCTTGGATGAGTGATGGTAGATGCGAAAGTTTACCCAGAACACGTCGAATCAGCAAGCAATGTAAGTTGTTTTAATATATCCAAATGTTAATAATAATATATAACTAAAAAAGTATAATTTTTTTCAGTTTTGATTATAAATCAGATTTGAATTCTCTGACTGTTCCATTAGGTGCTTTCGTTTAGCACCTCTTCACTTGATTACCTTTTTATTCTTTATTTTTATTTTAGTTTTTCTATTCTTTATTCATTTGTTAATGTTGTTGTTATTGGTAACTTTTATATTTATCAAACTCATTGGCTTTTTAAAGACTTTGGTAGTCTTAAATCTAAAAATAAATTTTATTTAAACTTCTTACCTAGAAGAAAGTTAACAACTACAAACTGGAATGTATTTAAAAAGTGTTTAAATACCTAAAAGTACCATCTACAGCAAAGTCTTAATGACAAAGAGCAAAAAAATTATTCACAAAATAAATAATCTGTGTAAAAAGTAAATGATTACTACAGATGTCGTCTTTTTTATTATTTTTTTTTTTTTCAATATTTTTTAATTCAAACAAAAACATATTTTCAATTATCTAAGTATAATAACAACTGTGCAACTACACCTGGAAGTTTTACAGATGTAGTTACATCTTTTCAATTATGTTAAGAAAGACCACATCTGTACAACTACATCTGTAAACTCTGAAGACATAGTTACATTTTTTAAATTATATTAAAAATAGCTACATGATTTTATAGACTTTTTGAATTATAATGTGTTATATTAATCAGATGTAGTTACATATATGATTTTTTTTTTTCAGATGTAGTTACATCTGAAAAAATTATTAAATAATAATGCATTATTTCAACCAGATTTAGTTTCATATAAGTTTTTTTTTCAGATGTAATTATATCTGTAAGAAATTCATCTAGATGTTGTTGGCCTTTGTGAAAAATTACCAGATGTAGTTCTATCTAAAGATGTTGTTGATTTTCCAGATGCAAATAAAGGGGTCGTTGATTTTCCAGAAGATATTGGAAAGATGTTGTAAGAGTAAAAAAAAAACACAGATGATTTTGGACAAAATTCCACAGATGATCTTGGACTAGTCCACAGATGTTTTTGGACAGATGTAGTAATCTTTTACCCAAATTTCCAGAGTTCTTTCAGGAGAAATAGATGACTAGAGAATAGAGAATAGAGAGTTTATGATCATGTCTGTCACCAATAGCTCACCAGTTTATTTTTTAATTTTGTGTAATTTTTAGTTTCTATGATCAGGGTTGGGATCAAATATGTATTTTTATTTGAAGTTGTTATTATATTTGGTAGTTATGAGGTAAATTGGCATATTTGTATTCGTGTTGCATTTGATTTGAAAATTTCTTAAAATTTTTTATTTGCATTTGATTGAAATGTATTTGTCACAGTGTTTTTCCCCATTAAATCCCACTGTAAACAAGGTTGACTGGTGTTTATTTGGGAAAAACTAAGATATTTGTTTGTTTTTTCTCTTCTTTTTAACACTAAAATAAGCTATAATTTAGTTTGTAAAGGATAATTTTTAAAGTTTTAAATTTAACTGGTATTTATAAAAGACTTGTTTTCATTCTTCTATTTAGCATACCATTTTATCAATATTGTATTAAAACAAATCTATGTATTTTTTTAAACCTAACTTACAAATATTTGTATTTGTATTTGGAAAATGCCAATTACATATATTTGTACTTGAATTAGTATTTGGAAATCTGAAATTAAAGTATTTGTATTTGTGTTTGACCCTGTCAATTATTATTAATTTGGTGTTTAATTGCTGATATATTCATTCTGATATAATGAATGGTTGATAAAAAGTTTTATTATTTTAAATTTTGAAATTGCAAAGTCATTGTCAAATAATTGTAAAAGTCGATATGGCAGCTTTTTTGTAACTCTATTTAACTTCTACCTCTAAAAAGTTATTTTTCGTTGTTGTTGTTGTTGTTATGCGTGTTATGTTGTGCCTCTTGTATTATTAAAAAATAATGCATTGCAATCCTAACTTTATTGGTTTCTCTATCTAGTTCAAATTTCTCTATCTAGTTTAAATTCTTGATTTACTATTAAGCCAGTTTTGATTTTTTATCTACTTTTTATTTGGTTTAAATTTTTTATCTACTTCTAACCCAGTTTGTTCTACTGGAGATTCCTGGTATCTAAGTGGTTTGGTGTGTTATTTTTATATTCGATAATTAAATTATTTTAATAAACATTTTGTAAAAAGTTCAATTAAAATATTAAAGATAATCTATTAACATTTTTTAATTTTGTTGATTTTTGATTGATGCACTTTTTTTGCAAACGAGTTTTTGTGGCATAAGCATTAGAAATAAAGTTTTATGATGGCTTCCATTGATCATTTTTATGTGATCATTTTTATTATTGTTATTAAAAAAGTTCGGAAATAAGATAATAAAAATTAAAATTTTAACTTTTTTTTTTATTGTAGCTATATCATCGTCATTAGAAATAAAGTTTTATGATGGTTTCCATTGATCATTTTTATTATTGTGTGATCATTTCTATTATTGTGATCATTTCTATTATTGTTGTCATGTGTCATTTCTATTATTGTTTGTTATACTATTATATGTCATGTTGTTTGTTATACTATTATATGTCATGTTGTCATTTCTATTATTGTTGTCATTTGATCATTTTTATTATTGTTATTATTAAAAAAGTTCGGAAATAAGATAATAAAAATTAAAATTTTAACTTTTTTTTTTATTTTAGCTACACCATCGTCTATTTTAAAAAGAAGAATCTCTCTCAAAGAGTAATTTGAATCGCGATCCAACGAATTGTTAGTATGCGACTATATGCAACTTGTAAAGTTAAAAAATTTAAAGTAAAAATTATAAGTAAAAATAAAAATGACAAAAGTAAATATATGTAAATAATATTTACAATTATTTATATAAAGTTTATGTTTTACAAAAGTTTTGGCGGTGTCGTCAGCTCTGTTATGTGCTGGTCTGACAGTCAGAAACAAGCATAAGGGTGTTAAGAGACAAAAAATGATAAAGAAACGGCACCCCCGAGAACTTTTTCTAATGAAAAGTTAATCCTGCTAAAGCGCCCTGTTAACAGACAAAAATGATTGAGTTTATAGAGTTAATTTGAAAGAGGTCCCGCGTAATATAAGGGCTTTTCCAAAGCGCATCAGAGGTTAATTTTTTATGGTACATTTTTCAAGAACATAAAACTGGCACTAAATTTTTTACTTATATCATACTTTATTGATAGAGAAATTAAAATTAACAAAGAGTTTTATTTTTATGACAAATGTAAAATCTCATTCTAATAGAATGTTTAACTTTCATCTTCTTTCCAGCAGGATTTAGCCTCCAAAAATAACGCAAAAACGGTTCAAAAGGAAAATTTCTCGTGTTTTATTCCTGTGTCAAAATGGCTCGCTAACAGTCCAGATTTGACCCCTTATATTTTCATTGCATGAGGTTATTCGTGTCGGAAAAACTAAAAAATGTAAAATGCAATAAATTAAACGATTCTAAGGATTTACTAGTCAAAATGTGGGGTGAAATTCTGACGGTATTATCTATTGTCATCTATGAAAATAGATAATACCGTTAAGAATTTCATCCCACATATGTGTATTGAAGAAAAATTTGAAATAAGTTATTTTTTATATTAAATAGTAATGTAAGTTTCAGAAAAATTCTTAAATCAGAAAAGTGAAAATCCCCTTCCCTAATTAAGATTTCAAATCTGAAGAATTGTTATTTAGCAAACATAAAAACTATGAGATATTTGTAAACCCCTTCTCTGTAATATACTTTAATAAAAGTCTATTCTATTAGGTAGATTTAAAAGGTACTGTTATTTAGTCACTTAGATAGCTTAAGCATTTTGTTCTAATAGCATTTTTTTAATTTAAAATCGACAATCCATTATTTTATTGTTTGCACAGCATTCATAGGTATTTAAAGTTATTCTGAAAACAATATTATGGAATAAAAACATTATACACTGTCAAGTGCTATTTTCTGTTTTTGTATTTATGTAATACTTTGGTATGATAAAGTAGAAACCGTCATCAGACGTTAATATATTTAAAAAAAAAACAATACAAAAAATTAGCGGATTCCTTTAAACTATAGAACGATTATAACCGAAAATTATTTTCTTTTTTTAATTAGAAAAACTTCTCCTTTTACCAGATAAAATAAAAACCAGAAACGTTTGATTTATCATATACTGTGCTTTAACAGACGATAAACGATTTTATTTGTAACTTAGTCATGAGATAAATCTGAAGAATTGTTTCACATAAAACTAATTTATACTGAAACTTTAGAGAGAAACCTCTTGCCCAATTCCATGTTAAACAAACATTTTTTGTTTATTAAGTGAAGTTGCGCATAACAAGAGGAAAAAAATTTTAGATTACATAACAGTGATTAGAGATTATCTTCTAATTAGGATTTTTAAGATGTACTACTTCTTTTCATTCTATGATTTCTTATTTTATGGTTTAACACTATAAAATTTTTGAAAATTTTTATAATACCATTATAATTAAAAATATATTTTTAATACTGTTAATGTTTTGATATAATATTAGTATCATAAAAATTGTAAGCAAATTTTAAAATTTTTCAAGTCTGTAGTTTTTCAAATTAAATTAAAACGCACACTTCATTTAATGTCACCTAAATAACAACAACAACAAAAAAAATGTACTAATTTAATTCAAATTTAATTTGTTTTGAAAAACTACATATTCAAGAGGAAATTTAAAAGAGACAAAAAAAGCAAAAATTTAAAGGAGAAAAAAAAAAAAAAGTTGTTTTTCACTAATGTTAGTTTTTTTGTTTAGATTAAATTATATTAAATATCAGAATTGATAATTGATATCATTTCTGAAATAAAATAGAATGCTTAAGCATTCTATTTTATAAGCTTCTGTATATTACAATAAGCTTCCCGTAAAAATATAAAAATAAAAATTTATACATACACACAAAAAATTGATTTTTATTGATATGAAATCAATGATTGTTTTGACTCTTTATATGAATAAGTTAACATAAATATAAAAAATTTATATTGATAATTATCAAATCTTTTTTTGCATTATCATAAAATTCATCGGGAAAATTAATTTATCTTATATATTTTTATATTAAAAAAGTTTTTATACTTTTATTTAAAAAATTTCTTATGGTTCATAAATGGCGTCCAGGAAAAGTTTGAAACCCCCTCTTTTTGAGGGGGTTGTCAACTTTACAAGGTCATAACTTTTGAACGTTAAAATAAATTTTTACTAAATGCAAATTTTACAGATGAAAAAAATATTTGGACTTTTTTTGTGTGGAAATTTTAAACAATATGTTAATTAGGGTAAAAAAGCGTTTCCATTACAAGTTAAATGTATAAACAACATTTCTCTGTTTTGTATACTTCCTTTTGGTATTCTTGCGGTAATTTGGAAGAATTTTTAATGTTTGGCATGTAAAACGATATGAGCAATACTAATCAATTTTTAAAAATTTTTTATTAACTATTGCAGCAGATAAAAAAAGCTCATAGAATCTATTATTAAATTTTTTTTGCGGTATACTTAAATAATATTGCGGTATAATTTAATAATAGATTCTATGAACTTTTTTTATCTGCTGCAATAGTTAATAAAAATTTTTTAAAAATTGGTTAGTATTGCTCATATCGTTTTAAAATGCCAAACATTAAAATTTCTCAAAAAGATAATAGAGCTTTAGTCTACCTAATTTGTTTTTTAAATGATAAAAATGATAAAAATTAAGGAAGGAAGGGTGACATTGAACAGAACACGTTTTTTTTAAATCATTTGATTTAAACAATGAAAACTTTCCTAATGTACTAAAGTACATTAGCACTAAAGTACATTTGTACTAAAGTAGAAAAGCATTAGAAAGACTTGAAAAAGGAGGTAAAAACATTATTCTGAGTAACCGTATAAAGTCTCAAAAGTCAAAGTATACTTACCAGAAACCAATCATTCTGTGTTTGTGACATTTGTAAAATTGCATAAACTACAATTGCTTTAAGATCAACATCTAAAAATAAAGAAGAATCAAGTTGGGAAGAGTAAAGTAATCATCACAGTTTTGGAAGGGTGGATACAAGGTTCCTAGAAACCTTATAGACTATCCGCAAAGCCTGTTTTAAACCACAACTACCGAGACTAATAGGTCTGAGGTCCCCCCAAAAAACGTGTCATTTAGGTCTCAAAATCTTCCAAATTTTACCACTAGGTTTTGCTAATATAAAAAGCTCCTTAAATTTGCAAAAAGGCACAAAAATTTCTGCCCCCTTCCTCCACCTCAAATTAAGGGGTACGGGTAGCCTTATCTCGGCACTGGGTTTTAGGTTTTGTTTTCAATATTACTGATCTAGCGTAGGACTCGTTTTTTACGGATTTACTAAATAGGGGTGCTTGAAAAATGCGTCTTAATTTTTTATAAAAAAATAAAGTATAGTTCACTTTATTTAATTTGTAATTAAAACAAAAATAAGTACATTATTACTCGACCGGAAAGCGAACACCGGTCTCCGTTGCCACAGTCCACAACATTAGTCTCTCAGCCATGCGAACACATTGAAAAAGTGTAATTTAAGTTAACTAAAAATAATATTGAAATATATATTTGAAGACGTTTTTTAAATTGGTATCCTGTGCCACAAACAAGGAGCTTTTGGGTCATAGAAAATATATAAGGTTCCTTCTACACCTTTTTTTTTTCTTAAATTTTTTATTGGAGAGGGCCTAGAGTAATTAGGACCCAAGCCAAGTTTTTCATTTTTTTTTTAAATTTTCATTCTTAAAAATAACAAGCATTTACATAAACATAAGGGTGTTTCAAAAAAAAAAGAAGCTCTCTTCTGGTTCCAATTCTATGTGACCTAAAGAAGACCTAAAAAAATTTGACGATTTTATTTTGACAGGAAATGCTAAATGTAAAATCTGAATTTTACTGTTTTAATGTTAAGCTGGTTCAACATTAATGGAAAACACAACATTTTTACATTTTAGAAAATTAAAACAAAACAATTAAATGCAAATAAATCATTTCGAATTGTTTTCTACAATTTAAGTTGATAGTTTATATTTATGAAAATGATAATTTATATTTATGAAAATAAATATGAAAATACAAAAAAAACAAAAAAT